TGGAGCCTTCCTACAGTCCCTCCCCAGCTGGCCAACCTACCACATCCCTCTCCAGCTCCGATCATGCACCAGTGGGGTCCCTTGGCCTGGCCTGTGCCCTCTCACAATCCGGGAATCCTTGGGGGATGCTGGAGAGCTGGTTTTGGCCCCACGGCAGAACATCCGGCCGCTATGATGCACACTGACCACCAGGGGGCAGATGCTCAATGGAGGAGCTGCCCCCTGGTGGTCAGTGTGCTCCCATAGGGGGAGCGCTGCTCAGCCAGAAGCTGGGATGGCTGATGGGGGAGCGCTGCTCAGCCAGAAGCTGGGCTCATGGCTGATGAGTGTAGCGGCAGTGGCAGGAGCCTCTCCCGCCTCTGCAGCAGTGCTAAGGATGTCCAACTGCCGGCTTAGGCCCACTCCCCTGCCACTACTCCCACACAATGACTGCGCCCACCCCACTAGCACCCACTGATGGTGCAGAGCGATTGGGGCCCACGCCAGCAGTGGCTGCGAGCTGGAGGTGGAGAAGCCCTCAGGGGTGATTGTGACTGGCAGCCGCTGCTCACACCCACTGACAGCGCTGAGTGATGAGGACCAGCTCTGGGCTCCGACAGCGGGTGTGAGTGGTGGCTCTGGTGCTGGATGCAGGTGCAAGTGGGGCCGTTGCCAGCAGTGGGTGCAAGAGGCGGCTGCTGGCCCAAATCTCACTTCAGGAGCAGGGGAGGTGGAGAAGCCCTGAGGGGCAATTGGAGTTGGCAGCTGCTCACACCTGCTGATGGTGCCCAGAGATCGGGGCCAGTGCCAGGTTCCAGCAGCAGGTGTGAGCGGCAGCTCTGGCGCCAGCAGCGGGTGCGAGGGGACCAGTGCCAGCAGCAGGTGTGAGCACCCAGCAGGACTGTAGTGCGCAGGAGCAAATAATTTTCAGTAACCACCAGAGGCTCACCCAATAACAGCAACCAGTGCCCTGCCTTGGTCTGGTACCCCCACTAACCTGCCCCATAATCCCTCTATGGCCGATGCCTGACATGTTCGGCGTGTGCTCCCTGGTGGTCAGCACACATCATAGTGACCAGGAGCAGGGCTGCTGGCAGACAGGGGACCCAGGGCTGTATTGGGAGGGGCCAGGCAGGGGCGTGGTGGATGGGCCGAGACCTGCCCCTGTGCCCACCGCAGCCTCGCAGTCCACAATTCCTTTCAAGGTGAGCAAATTCGTGCACTGGGCCCCAGGTTTAATATAAGAATAGATATAAGGATTGAATACATAAAATAGGGTTTAAGATATGGAGATTAGAGTAAGCATGGGTATGTCTTATTCTAAGTGGAGTTCCATAAGAAAAGGGGGAAAAGAATGGAAGAATGAAGCTGACATATATTTGAAGTGGAAATATCTGAAAATTTTCCATAACTCTTGAAAGATACCAATTCCCAGATTCATGAACACTAATAACTCTCAAAAAGGATAAATAAAAAATCTACTGCTGCATAATTAAATTTTATTAAATGAAATATAAAGAGAGAACTTTTAAAGTGAGAGAAGAGACAGAATACCTTCAAGAGAGTGACAATTACACTGACAATCAAATTATCAGACGCAGCAATAGAAATCAAAAGCCTGTGGAATAATATTCCACTGTGCTGAAAAGAATTTAGAATTACATAACCATTAAAGTATCATTCATAAGTAAAACCAAAATACTACCAACGTTCGAGACAGAAAATTTCCTTCAGTGAGCATATGTTGACAATATAAAGCAATACCATTGCACCTGTTGTGGATCAAGAAAAAAAGATGGCTAAAATACTTGAGAGAACAGAAATAGTCTTCTAAGGTCTTTACTTTGTTGTAAGGAGAATGAAACTATAGATGAAGTACATTTTGATAAGTTAAGCATGTATGTGTGACTTTTCCAGGATATAATGAAAGTAATAGAGATCAAGTACAAAACTTCCAAACTCAATCAATGTAAAAGAAGGAAAAAACAATCAGAGAAAATGAACCACAAACAAGGCAGGTACATAGGAAGCATAACATATAGTAGAGATATGCCTAATACTACTTACTACAATTAAAATGAACTAAAAAGTTCTATTTAACAAAGATTGTCAGACGGGAATAAAAAATAAATAAAAATCAAACAATGTGTTCATAAGAGGCACATATAAATGAAAAGTATACAAATTGTATTTAAAAGTTGTATACATAATAAATGCAAACAAAATAAAACTGGCTTAACCACATTAATACTACATGAAACAGGCTTTGAACCAAAGGTATTATGAGATAGAGAGGTCCACCATCTATATATATAAAAAGCCAGCGACTGTAATGGCCATAAGGACCATAACGACTGGTAGCTATGATGCCCACTGTGGCCAGCGAACCTGTGATCAGGGGGTGGGGCCGGCTGGCCAACCTTGTGGCCCCTCCCCCCTTCCAGTCTGTCCCTGATCAGACTATCCACCCTGATCAAGAGCTGGCTGCTGGCCAAATGTTCCCTCCCTTCCCCCTGGTCAGCCCTGCCCCCAATCAGCCTACCCCACCACCATAGGCCTGCAGCCCCTCCCCATGGCTGGCCTGCCCCTGATCACACCCCTCCACCCCAATAGGGGGCAGGGCTGGGTGGCCAACCTCCTGCAGCCCCTCCTCCCGGCTGGCCACGCCTCTGATGGGCCCCCACTAACCTGATCGGCCCACAGCCCCTCCCCCCACTGGCCCTGACCCTGATCGTCCCCCCCACCCCAATAGGGGGCGGGGCCAGCCTGCCAACCTCCTGCAGCCCTTCCCCCCACCAGGCCCCACCC